AACACATGCTCGAACCCTATGGGAGCATCTTGAAAGTTTGTATGCTCGAAAGATTGGCAACAAAAAAATGTTCTTAATAAAGCAGATGTTGAGTTTGAAGTACCATGATGGTTCTCCGATGACAGACCATCTGAATAATTTTCAGGGGATTATGAACTAATTATCTGCTATGGGCATCAAATTTGATGAAGAAATTCAAGGCTTGCTTCTACTTGGTTCCCTACAAGATTCTTGGGAAACATTTAGAACGTCATTGTCAAATTCTTCTCCAGATGGTGTGATCTCTATGGATTCCGCCAAGAGTATTGTCTTGAACGAAGAGATGAGAAGAAAAACTCAAGGTTCCTCTTCGTCGGATGTCCTCATAACTGGCCCCAGGGGGAGAAATAAAACTCGTGGTTCCAAGCATAGAGAATAAAATATGAGCAAATCCAAAGGCAGACTTAAGGATATTGAGTGTTATCATTGTGGCATGAAAGGCACACAAAGAAGTTATGTAGGAAGTTGAAGAGAGAGAACAAAAACAAAGAGGAAACTAAAGAAGATGGCAATGAAAATTGCTTAGCCACCGTCACCACCGAAGATCTTGTTACCGTTCTTGATGCAAACATGATAAATATTGCTTGTGATGAGTCAAGCTGGGTTGTGGACAATGGTGCCACATCTCATGTGACATCAAGGAAGGATTTTTTCTCTTCCTACACTCCGAGTGATTTTGGAACCTTGAGTATGGGTAATGAAACTGTTTCTAGGGTGGTTGGTATTGGTACAATTTTTTTGGAAACTAGTGGTGCAACTAAACTAGTTTTGAACAATGCGAAACATGCTCCTGATATTTGTCTGCTCCTAATTTCTATTGGTGTTTTAGATGATGAAGGATATGTTAGTACCCACGGCGATGGAAAATGAAAGCTCATTAAAGGTTCCTTGGTTGTGGCTCGTGGTAACAAATGTCGTGGTCTATACTGGACTATGGCCTCTGCTTGTGTAGATATGGTGAATGCGGTTGAGAGCGATAACTTTTCAACATTCTGGCACAAGAGGCTTAGCCACATAAGCGAGAAAGGGCTTAATGTTCTAGCCAAGAAGAAATTATTGTCATATTTCCAAAGTGCTAAATTAGAAAAATGTGAGAACTGCTTGGCTGGTAAACAAAATAGAGTTTCCTTTAATTCCTACCCTCCTTTGAGAAAGACACAATTGCTTGAGTTAGTGCACTCTAATTTATTTGGTCCAATGAAGACAAAGACATTAGGTGGTGCACTTTACTTTGTCACTTTAATTGATGATTGCTCGAGAAAACTTTGGGTCTATGTCTTGAAGACTAAAGACCAAGTGTAAGGTGTCTTTAAGCAGTTTCAGGCTTCAGTTGAAAGAGAAATTGGAAAGAAATTGAAATGTATTCGTACTGATAATGGTGGTGAATATTGTGGACCAGTTGACGAATACTACAAGCATCAATGTATTAGACACCAGAAGACTCCTCCCAAGACTCCTCAGCTTAATGGTTTGGTTGAGAGGATGAACAGGACCTTGATGGAAAGAGTTAGATTTTTGCTTTCTGATGCAAAGTTACTGAACTCATTTTGGGGTGAGGCTTTATTGACCGATGCACATGTTATTAATCTATCTCCTGCTGTTGCTCTGCAAAGTAATGTACCAAATAGTGTTTTGTATGGAAAGGATGTTTCCTATGACCATTTGAGAGTATTTGGTTGCAAAGCTTTTGTACATGTGCCGAAAGATGAGAGGTCAAAATTAAATGCCAAGACAAGGCAATGCATCTTCATTGGATATGACCTAGATGAATTTGGTTATAGGCTATGTGATCCAATTGAAAAGAAACTTGTGAGAAGCCGTGATATTATTTTCATGGAGAATCAAACAATTGAAGATATTGACAAAGCGGAGAAGGTAGAATCTTCATGTTTTGATGGTATAGTTCATCATGATGAAGTTCCTCACACAAGTGTGCATGATGTTGTTGGGTTTGATAATCATGGTGATGCCCATAATCATGTATCGAATCAACATGTTGATGTTTATAATAACAATGATATTGTTATTGATGATCCTGTTGCTCATGAAGTTGTGGACGAATAAAATATTCCACTTCGGAGGTCCACAAGATAGAGTTTTCCTTCCTCTTGTTATTCAAGAAATGAGTATGTGTTACTCACTAACGGGGGAGAAACTGAATATTATGAGGAGGCCATGGAAGATGAGCACAAAAATCAATGGATTGAAGCCATGCAAGACGAGATGAAGTCTTTGCATGAGAACCACACTTATGAGTTGGTAAAATTTCCCAAGGGCATGAGAGCTTTGAAGAACAAGTGGGTGTTCAAAGTTAAAGTTGAAGAGCATAACTTAAAGCCCAGGTACAAAGCTAGATTAGTTGTTAAGGGATTCAGTCAAAGGAAAGGTATTGAGTTTGACGAAATATTTTCTCCTGTTGTGAAAATGTCCTCGATTTGCATAGTTCTAGTTTTGGCTGCTAGTCTTAATTAAGATATTGAACAGATGGATGTGAAGACAACTTTCCTTCACGGTGACCTAGAAGAAGAGGTTTATATGGCACAACCTGAGGGCTTCAAGTAGATGGTAAAGAAAATTTTGTATGCAAACTCAAAAAAAGTGTCTATGGCCTATAACAAGCTCCCAGACAGTGGTACAAAAAGTTTGAATCTGTTATGGGGGAGCAAGGCTATAAGAAGACTTCTTCAGATCATTGCCTATTTGTACAAAAATTTCCTGACAATGATTTTATCATCCTTTTGTTGTATGTGGATAATATGTTGATTGTTGGCAATAATACTTCCAAGATTGACGAGCTGATGAAAGAGTTGTGTAAATCTTTTTCTATGAAAGACTTGATTCATGCCAAGCAATTTTTGGGCATGAAAATTACTCGTCTTAGAGATAAAAGGAAAATTTATTTGTCCCAGAAGAAGTACATTGAATGTGTACTGGAGCGCTTCAATATGAAGAATGCTAAGCTTGTTAGTATACCTCTTGCTGGTCATATGAAGTTGAGCAAGAAGATGTGTCCTACAGCTAGGGAGGAAAAAGAGAACATGGCCAAAGTTCCATATTCCTCCATTGTCGAAAGTCTAATGTATGCAATGGTGTGCACTAGACTTTATATTGCTCACGCAGTTGGTGTTGTCAGTAGATTTCTCGAAAATTGAGGAAAAGAGCATTGGCAAGCTGTGAAGTGGATACTCAGGTATCTTAGAGAAAGCTCAGATGAATGCTTATATTTTGGAGCATCAAATCCAATCTTGAAAGACTATACAGATTCTGATATGGCAGGTGACCTTGATAACAGAAAATCCACTGCTGGATATTTGTTTACTTTTTCAGGGGAAGCTATATCATGGCAGTCAAAGTTGAAGAAGTGTGTTGCACTATCTACAACTGAGGCTGAGTATATTGCGGCTTCTGAAGCCGGCAAGGAGATTATATGGCTAAAGCGATTTCTTCAAGAGCTTGGTTTGAATCTGACCGCCAGAGTGCAATATACTTGAGCAAGAACTCCATGTACCATGCAAGAACAAAATACATTGACGTCATATATCATTGGATTCGTGAGAAAGTGGAGAATGAATCATTTCACGTCAAAAAGATTCACACAAGTGAAAATCCTGTAGATATGCTAACCAAGATGATACCGAAAGATAAGTTTGAGTTATGCAAAGAACTTGTGGGTATGAGCTCTCTCTAAAGAAGTTGAAGATACTTTTTCCATTAAATGGGACTAGAGGAGGAGATTTGTTGAATCCATCCCATTTTTTTAGTCAACTTTAGTCATTCAATTGGTACAAGCAATTGTTAAAAAGGAATAGTAATTGGAGTTGAAAAAAAAAGATTTGGTAGTTGGCAAATTGGTAAGATTTGCAACCATTTTTGACTTTGCTATATTTACCTATGTCATTAGTGACATAATCATGGTTTTATCCTTCTATAAATAGAGCATTCTTGCTCATTTGTAGAATACACCAAACTAAAGAGAAATACCATTTTGAGAGCAAAGTGAGGTATTCCATAGACTATATAAGAAAATAGACTTTGAAGAAAAATAGAGTGTGAGCGATATTTTAGTAAGACGGAAAAAAAAAAGAGTGTTGTTCCTTTTGAGTGTGTAGTAGTCACTTTGAGTATTGTATTCGTGACTACACATTGTAAAATTTCTTACTATAGTAATATTAGTTGCTCCTCTTGGCTCGTGATTTTTTTCCCTTATTCAAAAGTGTTTCCACGTAAAAATTTTGGTGTCGTTATTTTCCCATTTTATTTCCATTACTTTTATCATATATATTTTTGTGCTCGTCAGCATTTTCCTAACAGCCTCCACAAGCAAATGATATACATATATAAATCTTATCTAGCATCAAATAGTGTGATGCTTAATTGATTTATAAAATGTTCGCCAAGCTTTCTAGATGAACTATTAACTTCACCGAATTGACTTCTGCTAGTAAAAAACAAGGATCATTAGGTGACGGTAATGGGACATTACTAGACAACACTCAACACAACTGATGACATGCTAGGCCTATTTTCAAGACACTGCTGCACACACAATAGACCTTTATGGATAGACCTTTGCACTTCACGTTGGTTGTTGCATAACTCCTTTAGATGTGTATTTATTACATCCATAACCTTGCCTTCTTTGAAGTGGATCCACACCTGTCAACAAACATAAATTTAATATCATGCAGTTGTTAGATGCTATAGTTTTAACTAGCATAATTTTTACAGTATATGTGTAAGAAGAGTTCCTACATGTCATAGAAGATTATGGTGATGCTCTTGATGAAAGAACCCTCTATTTCTCGTCTCGCTTAAAATCTCCAAAATTACAACTCCATAGCTAAAAACATTTGATTTCACTGAGAATTTCCCTTTTTCTGCATACTCTAGAGACATGTAGCCGTTGTAGGATAATGCTAAACAATGATTATCTTTTCCATAACTCTTTGGTGTAAAGATCATTACAATGTTCCAACCACTCTTGTTGTCATGGCTCCAATCTCATTTCCTCCAAAACTTCTTGCCATGCCAAAGTCAGATATCTTCGGGTTCATATTAATGTCTAGCAAATAATTTATAGGTTTAAGATCTCTGTGGATTATCCGCAATCTTGAGTCTTGATGAATATAGAGAAGTCCACGAGCAATTCCATTAATAATATGGAAGCACTTAGGCCCATCAAGCAATGACCTCCTATCTGTATCTGAAAAAATCAAGAGTTCATAGAAGTTATAACTGAATTCATCTGCAGCTGATTGAACTATTACTACAGATAACCAAATCTATTAAGAGTTGAGAGAAGTGAGAACCAACCAAAAAGGAACCAATAAGAGCTATTATTAGGCATGTACTCATAAACCAACATTTTTTCTTCAGCTTGGATACAACAACCTAGTAGTTTCACTAGATTCCGTTGGTGGAGTTTAGCAATAAAGATAACCTCATTCTTGAACTCATCAGTTCCCTGTGCTGAGTATCTTGATAGTCTCTTTACTGCTTTTTCTTGCCCATCTTTCAGCGCAACCTACATTTTCTTAAACAATTAGCTTTTCTAGTTTTTCGATTGAAAAATTCTTGGTGAACTTTTTTTAGATAGATTGTTTGTAGTGGAATTAACTTTAATTGACATTTCTGGAGAATGGGAGATATATTTTCTAATCGAAAACTTTTTTGCTTTTAAATATTCCAAAATTTTGTCAATGTTCCAGCATATATACTACTTTGAAGATGAGAAATTTTCTTAGAGAAAAAGAAAAGAGTAGTAGTTAACATCGTTACCTTGTAAACATGTCCAAAATCACCCTCTGCAATCTTGTTTCTCAAAGAAAAATTATTGTTAGCGGCCAAGATAGTGGCAAAATCAAATAATAGTAAATCTAGATCATCATTTTTGCTTTTATTAACATACAACAATTTAGAGCTTCCTGTCAAAATAAGGATATAATTGAATTTCATTTACCATCAACTCCAGCCACTTAATTCGAATTTCAATGTAGCAAAACATCTTGTTTACCTTCACTAAAATATTGTTGGTTCTTATTCTCCTCCTCTTACTTCTTCTTGTTCTTCGTACACCTAATGTACAAGATCAAGCATAGCACTAAGAGAAGATTTAATGCCGCCAATGGCAAGCTGATTCTCAATTTCTGTAATATATCTTTAATGGAGTTTATGTATGAATATTGATATAAATTCATCTCAGTGTGATAAGTAGGAATCTTTGTGTTTTCAATTTTTTAATAGATAGTTCAATTTGGTGTAGAAAATTCCCGACATGTGTAAAAAAGCAGACCAACCTGCACTTATCTCTCTCTCAGAAGAGTCCAACTTTAAATATATATATCTTGTCTACTAGAACCAAACTATCTGATATCCATCAGCTCATCAAACCAAAGCAAGCAGTCTTCATTTGTCCCTGTTACGTCTAGTTTTGCATAGGCCACACATGAACAGTTTCTCAAGCACAATTACTCAAAATGACTTGAGAGTTACTCCTCGAGCGTACAAGGAAAATCGAGTGTCTGGCAAGAGTAACATTTCCTTGTGCCTTAAAATTGAGCATACCATTTTTATCATTGAGTGGTGTGTCTCTATTAGCAAACCATACCACTGTCTATATTGATACTTTGTTGAACCATATTCCCATGTATCGTTTACTCGATGTTGAAGTCGGGGAGAAAAATTCCAATTCAAAATTTCCAGCTGACCAAACAATTGTTTTTCCATCTTTTAAAGGTTAAATCTCTAGGTATGTTATCTGCATCTCAACAAGAATCATAACACAAAATATGTAAGACAATAACAAATGAACACGTCTTGTTTTCATCATACTTGTTTTACTAATGAAATAGCAGGATTCTCTATTGATGAAATAACATGATTTCTTCCTTTGTTTGTGTCAAAATATTTAACTTCACAATAAATTTTATGTTTTTTTAAAAAAATTATGGATAGAAACGGATAATAATGGTAAAGATCAATAGTTGATCATCTTCACTAAATAGAAGTATAGTCAAACTGTTGAGGCGACGTCTCTAACTAACACAATTGTCTAGAAACACGGTCACCGCAGCACCCATAAATAAATTTATTTTAGTTTACAACTTATAATAAAATAATTTAAAATTCAAAATTATTAAAAGGGTCATATATTTTTTTGAACTACTCAAAAGGTCTATCTTCCAATTTTAGAAAAACAATATCAAACCTTTTCTTTTCTTTAGCCCTTTACTTGCTTCTAAAACTATAAATATGTATCTTCCTTGCCAAGAATAAAAATCTATTTTATCCTTAAAATAAGTGATATGATCTGCATAAAAAAATTGAAGTGATTTGAATTTTCTGTAAATGAATATTGTATAACTATGTTTGCTTTTGCATTTCGTGTTTATAGTTTTTTATTTTTACTAGTTATATGTAAATAAAAATGCAAGTGATTGCGATCACGTTTGATAGTTTTTTTAAAAAAATATATAATTTAATAATATGGAGGAAATATTATTAATAGTGATGCGGTAAATTAATTATTTTTTAAAAAACTCTGACCATGTTTCTTACAAAAGGGAAAGCTAATGTAAGACTCATTCTAACATGAGTCTTACACATAAAATTTAACACCATCAAAAGTTTGATTCAAATGTTGTCATTTCGGTTTCGTAATCAATTTTGTACCATTTTGAAAAGTTTGCTCAATTTTTTGGCCTTTTCGCTCTGAACTCGGGTATAGACCTTGACTTTAGATGTTTTGAGTGATAAAAAGAAGAAATGTTGTTATATGATAGCTTTTTATTCTTGAAATCAAACTCTCTCTCTCTATCCCTCAATGTAAACTCTAAGATAGCATATGTATGTTAGACGATGAACAAATAATGAAAGGTGTGTAAGATGAAACGGAAAAATGTTAAGAGAGAAAAGGGTGCCACCATATATGAGGCTAGTGCAAGTGAGACAAGTTGTACCTACGCCTATATAAGGTCACCAAAAGTACTCACCTAAGAGAGTGTTGATTATTAAGAGACAAGTGTCAATCACACTCTATATGTAAGTGTAAGGAAAATTGACACTTCATACGTAATGATGAGATAAGAAATAATCTAATGATCTATGATGACTCATGCTAGAAGCTTGCTTCTATGATGTATGCGATGGATATAATTCAACTTTATACTGAGCACTGATAGTCTAGATATGAGTCATTTTTTCTTCTTTAGGGAAGGCAGAGGTTCGTATAATTCTCATGAGATGAGACTGTATGTCAAGACGGGTATGGGTCTCCTTATATCTCCTAGTCTTTGAACTTATACTGCCAATATATGGTTCTAGCAGGGTTCGATTCCCTATATACGCTAGCATGTTTTGGTTCACTTTGCTCGATGATTTCACCTCTTTACAGTGTGAGGTTAAACACTGGATTTCATGATTCTCACATGATCTATGTCGGTTAAGGTTAAAGTTCCCAAACAAAGAATAAGGCCAGTCTCAAGTAATACATATAATGAAATTAACGATCCCAAAGGTGTTAGGATAGGATAATAACATGGTGAGCTAGAGTTAAGTAATGACACTAGGTATGAATGGAGTTTACACTAGCTTACGAACGAAACGAAAATGAAGTACGCATGAATGAATGAAGTAGACTCTGTGTTTGCTAAAGAAGGCTCCCTAGTTGAGGTCCTATATGTTGAGCCCTCATTTTGGTAAGTCCTAATGTCAAGTCCATGATTCCAAGGTCTCATGGTATATGGACAAATGATATGAAATATGTTATGTCCTAATTTGGCAAGTCCATATTTCATATCATTAGGAGAGAGATCTTATTAATCACGAATGTCCTTGACGTGTGCTTGCATATACCCATACTTAGTATAAGTGTGTAGTAATCCCATACAACTCTTTACTTTTAGGTGCAGGTGCAGCTGGACGCTACAGCTTACGAGTCGACGCTGAAGTTATCCGGACGTGGAGCTTTCATCCAGATTTGGTAGGACCTCATGCTTTCAAGGATGCCTTCTATTATATTCTAGCATTAGACGTACGCATTAGCTAGTGGAGTATGTTCCACTAGCGTTTCTTTCTCACTTGTTTCAGACATTATATTGGTGCCATTTGTGCAAGTATATATTTAATGCAATTATGTACTATTTCAAACATTTGAGTATTTGTATTAGATGGTTGTTTTGAACGATTATGAAATTAAGTCTAAGTATACTTCAACTAAACAAAAAGTTCAATTTTTCCGCTAAAATTTATCTAGATGATGTAACGATGACGTATGTAGTCTTATTTGAGACATCTGAAAGGTTAATGACGCCGATTTCAGCTAGGGTCTAGACTCCAGTCGTGACAAACAACATTAACCATACTAGCTACGCATGGAAACTTGAGTCAACCCTACATCGATGGAGGGTATTCTACTTGCCAAAGGTATAACTAGGACACATCTCATTTAGGCACATAGTTAAGGAATATCAAGGGTTTTTTTGTACTCTAGTCTCAACTAAAGTAAAGTCACTCCCCAAGCATACTCATCCGTGCTAGCCTTTGTGCTCATAGAGTTATTCAATAAGAAGGGCATATGAAAAGGTACCATATAGAAGTCACAACCAAATCATAATACACCTTATCAAATGGGGTCCACTAGGGCTGCCACACAATGGTTAAATAGGATAGCTTCATGACTTTCCTAAGGATGATTCATGTCGTTCCAACCAATCAAACCCTATGTCCATCATTCACACAAGAAGGATACCTTTACGGCTTTCAACTTCAAGGATATCATAGCCTTCTATCTAGGTTGAAGGTTCCACATTAATGACCATCTTAACTATGTTTATGATCATATTTCAGTTACACATGCACATTCATGACAAATGTGCTTTATCCTAATAAAGTCATTTTCATATTCTACATGTATTAAGTAGAGGGACATAGGTCTACCAAACAAGACACACACATCATCATCTTATCACATGTACAATATCCATCAAGTAGCATATAGGGACAACCAAGTATACTAAAGGTCACCCTACACACTCCTCTATAAACTTCAATATAACTCATCATAAGACTCATATAGTCAACTAGGAAGATTCATACTTCAACATCAAGTACCATACATTAAGACATCACCATAGTCTACTATAGAGACCTATCATCTATTTAATATAACACATGCTTTGACTTTATATATACACATAAGTCATATAGACCTTCATAATGATCACATATACAAGTTATTACATGATAACATCCTAATTCATAAAGTAATGTCGACGAGGCCACATTCTTCATAAATATATTACATAAACACCACCACCATAAGTGGAACATTCCAAAAATCAAATGTGAAATAACTATAATGCACAATATAGAGGAATTTAGGTCAACATACCACCATTCCATCATCAACACCTCCTATCCTTAGCCAATTCAACCAATTCAATTCACAAAGGCTCTTACCAATAGCCATATACACCAATCCAAACCAATAATCAAACTACCTAATGACCCAACATAATTTTGCAAGAAATTCATCATATTAGGACAACCTATATACAATTTTAAACTAATTCATACATATATCAACAACCCTATACAATCTACATAAGAATTCAATACAATAGAGACATGATCACATCACCCATTGTATAGTCAAAATTAGGATTTAATGATTTGAGTGGGACCATAAAAAATTTGATCTAATATCATTTAGTTAATATTAATTATATCATCAATCATTGATTGAAATCATCTTATAGAAGAACCCTGTCACACTCGTAGAATACACCCCAGATGAGACCGGCGTCGTTAACCTCTTAGAGGTCACAGAGAAGCCCCTTCTTAGCATTCATCACAATCATAAGTTAAATTTAGCAGAAAAAGTATAATTTTTAACATTCTATTAAAGTATACTTACACTTAATACTTAACATTCATAAGCCATATGAATTCTAAGGAACTCTCTCATATATATAAAACCATCTAAGAGTTCAAATCTAGACTTAGCCAAAAAATAGTCAATATGCCATATAGGCCTTAATATAAAGAATCTAAAGAAAACATGATGGAAATAGATAATCCTAATATCTACTAGAGTATTCATAAACTTGAAAATAAATTATAGCGTCCCAAACATGAGGACCTACCAACACTTGGAGAAAGAGTTCCAAGCTTTTTCAAATCGGCCTCCTTAAACTTCAATGGACGGAACCTACAGTTGTAGTAATATTAAGTAATGGGGTTAGTACGCCACATGTACTAAGTATGAGTATATTCACATAACACTTAAGAACATGCATGAAAGAGGATCATTTATAATCTCTTAAGAAAGCATGCTAAGTCATATGAAAATCTTCAATGCACATACCATATAACACATACAAGCTAAAGCATGATCATAATCAAAGACATATTCTCATAGAGTCACGTTAATATTTCATATTCAATAGATCTATAGACACAACATACAAAATCATTACTAATGATCCCATCCCAAACCTTCAAGTGCAATGGTCATGTGAAGCCCTATAACTCCACATAACTGAGTAGATAAGATAGGAGACCATAAGAAAAGCCTTGCTTTATGTAACTTGTAACATAAGTAGTCATTACTTTGTATCGCAATGCAACCAAATAAAGTATTATCATAATAACCAACATTCATAGAAGAGTAACATCATATATCATAAACATGTATTTTTCTTATCATCATATTACTTAAGAACAAT